TCCTATTCCCTTTCTTCAGTCTCCATCTTCTATCTTCTCTCCTCATTCTCACTCTTAAGAACCGGTGTGAACCCAGATAGGTAGCCACCATTCTCAGTCTCAAAGGCAACACGTGAGCTCAGGCACCGACAATCTCAAGCACTGGTCGTCTCTCTCTTCGGCGGTGAGTCTTCTCTCTCTCTCTCTATCTATATCTCTCTCGCCACCAGTCTTCTCTCTCTCGTCTCTCTCATAGTTCTCATTCTCAGTTTCTCACTCACTGTCGCATATTCTCACTTTCTTAGGAGCCAATGAACTCAAAGCACTGGCGTCAGTCGCTCCACCAATGAACTTAGTCGCCCCTCTCTCTGGCGGTGAATCCTGTACTCCTATATTTCTCAGTTTTGTACAAATCATGCATTCTGTAATCTGTAATTTGTACAAATCATGCATTTCTCAACTCTGTTAGCTCGAGTACATAAGTTTTGGGCTTATCACTTATGAGTGAAATCACAAATGCATTGAAATTAAACCCATTTATCATTTGTTGAAGACTTGAAGTAAGAACAGAGTTAGAGAATCTTTTAGAACAAAAGTTGTGTGAATCGGGCTTCGGGCTCGGGCTCAGGCTTCAGGCTTTATATGAGGGTTAGGCTTGGGCCCATGTTGTAGGCCCGTTGGTCGAGCCGGGCTCGGACTCGAGCCTGAAAAAATCCTATTAATGAAAAGCAAAAGCCTGGCCCATGAATAGGTCTAGTTATGTTATATCTGATTCTTAGGTTTTCTTTGACTTAAAAAATGTTTAATTTTGCTTTGTAAGATCAAGGTAACAATATCTAAACATTTAGAATAAAATTATGCATAGTTCTAAGGTTTTGAACAATGAGGAGTTGCATACTCAAATGATCATTTGAGTTGCATACTCAAATGATCTAATGAATCGACTACCTTTGAAAGTCGAGGCATCAAATAAGTTGTTGTTGTTCAAGAGTCAACTACCTTCGACAGTCGAGCATTAGCATAAGGTTGTTAGTTGACCAATATGTGGGGTTGGTCAATTACCAAAGAAAATAGATTCCCACCTACGAGTGACAGTCGACCAATAAAGTTTATCAATTGACTACTTATAGTAAAAACTGACCGTTTAAAGGTACAAAGACTAGTTTCTTCTTTTGGTAGGACTTCTATTTGTTGGAATTAAGGTTTGAATATTGCCAAAAATGGCTTGAAGCTATTTCAATAGCTTTCTAATGGTTACATGGTCCCAACATCTATAAAATGATGTTTGAGCACTAAAAGAAAACAAGAATTTAAACTATGATATACCTACTATATTGAGAGCATCCTATGAGCAAAAGTTTGAATAAAAGAAATTTTCCCATAACCTTTGTTAGTTGGTATGTATTTGATTAATGGTTCGTTGGTTGGCCAGGGCTTGGTTAGTTTTGGGTAATGTATAGTTGGCTCTACCTCGATTTTGTAGGACTTAGTTTCGTGGGATTTGGAAGAATGGGTTTGATTAACATTAGCTATATTCAATGTCCACCAGATGGTTTTATGTATGTTGATTTGGATTCATTTGTATCAGGATAGTGTGGTTTTGAACTGAGTAATCTAAAATTGTCCGCATCTTGTTCAGCTTTGTTGACTTTAATTTATCTTTGTCTCAACAAGTTAAGTCGGTTTGGGTAATTTTGGATAGTTTGGATTAATTTGAGCTATGTTTCGCTTTGATGGCTTTCTTCAGGCAATGTCTCATTTGCTTTGGTCAGATTTGTTAAATAAGGTGGATCACTTCTTTCTAAGCTTTTGTTATATTTCAAATACCCATCTTAGCTGAAATGAAATGTATTACATCTTTATATATATATATATAAAGCAAGGTTGTCCAGCCAAGTGGCACCACTATCCCACACTTTCTTCTAAATTATCTCTAATTCCTATTAATCCTCTTCCTCACTTTTTATCTATATCTATCTAAAAAAAATTAAGAATTATTTAAATATTATACGAAATTATATAACTTTAAAATATTTACAAAACATAAAAAATAATTATAATAGATTTAATAATATTCATATTATGAATAATTTTATATTTTTACAAAATTCATCACGAAATTATGTACTAACAATATAAATTATAGTTTTATGGATTATTCAATTTAAATGCTATTCAAATAATAATAATTTAACATTAAAAAATATTATTTAAATATTTCAATAACTAAATATCTTAAATTACAAAACATTAAAAATAGAAAAATAATTATATAATAAAATGCTTAATGTTATGTAATAACTTTAAAATAAATAAAATTAAAATAACAAGAAATTTTAAATATTTGACATATTATTTAAATATTTAAATAACTAAATATTTTCAATAATGAAATATTTAACATAACTAAGTTTGAAATAGTTAAAATAACGAAAATATGTAATGAATTTTAAAATTTTCTTAAAATTAAAAAATAATTATAATAAAACATTAAAATTTATAATGATTTAATAATTTACAAAATTAATAATGAAATTATGTAATAATAGTATAAATTATAATTTTTTGGATTATTAAATTAAATAAATAAATAATATTTTAAAAATTCAAATAATGTCATTATTTAAATAACTAAATAATATTGTAAATAACTAATTTGACTTATATAAATTAATAATTCGAGAAAATAACTTTCGTAAAAGTTAATATTTATTAATAATCATTTTAAACTCTTAGTATATATTTATTATATATTTATATATACTAAAATTAATATATATTGTATTTTCAACAATTATTTATTGTTTTTGTGATAAATATTGGGATTAAACTAATGTTTTAAATTTTCAAATTTAATTTATTATACTTATTGTATTTATTGCATTTTTTATATAATTTTATTTCTAGTAATTATGTATTTTTTTATAATTTATTGATTAATATTTATTAGTGATTAAACTATTTTCTTTTGATATTACACTATTTATTTACTAGTTTAATACGTTTTCAGTATTTATTGTATTTTTGTAATTACTGTAATTATTGTATTTTTACTAGTTATTTATTGCATTTCATTATAAATTTATTTTCAATAATTGTGTATTTTTCTATAAATTTTCAATAATTATTGGAGATTAAACTATTGTTATTTATTAAAGATAAGACTAATTCAAGAAAATAACTTTCAAAAAGCTTAATATTTATTATTAATAAATTTAAAATCATAGTATATATTTATTATATATATATATACTAAAATTAGTATTATTGTATTTTCAGTAATTGTTTATTGTTTTTATGATAAATATATTTTCAATAATTATTGGAGATTAAACAATTATTATTTAACTTTATAAATTTAATTTATTATACTTATTGTATTTATTGTATTTTTTCTATAAATTTATTTCTAGTAATTATGTACTTTTGTTATAATTTATTGATTAATATTTATTAGAGGTTAAACTATTATTTGAGATTACACTATTTATTTACTAATTTAATATATTTGTAGTATTTATTTTATTTTTATAATTATTGTGTTTATTGTATTTTCAATAATTATGTATTTTCACTATAAATTTTTTAATATTTATTGGAGATTAAACTATTGTTATTTATTAGAGATTAGATTATTAATTTAGTTGAAATTAGGAGCGTTCATGGGTTGCTTCGGTTCGGCTACAAGCTATTTGGCCAACCAAATTGACTTGGTCAGGTTGGGGAGTTGGTCACCCGAAATTGACTAACCATTAGTGAAAACTGACTAACTCGGGTTGTATTGGTTTGGGTAGATTTTCGGTTTGGTCTATTGGTGCAAAAGAATTAAACTGAAAATATTAAATTTAAATTTAAAAAATTACAATGGTATTATTAGAAAAATAAATTTAAAACTTAAAATTATGATATAAAATATTTTAGGCTAAGAAATATAGGGATTTTCCACTTTCCTGTATTAAAAATATATATTTAAAATATTATATAATATATATATTAGGTCAATTCAATTTTGGTTAGTTTATAAATGGTCAAAATGAAACTGATCCAACTAGTTGGGTTAGAAAATTGTTGAACTAATGCCAATAAAAAATACTAGGAAATCAACCAACTCAGCATTAATAAGATGAACAACCCTAACTAAAATTAATTATTATTATTATTTTTATATTATAAAAAATTATTAAAAATAATATGTAAAATATATATAATTATTAATTATTTAAAAAATTAAAATATAAAATAATAATATACTTGTATACATTATCATTCTCTTAGACTTAATAAGTATAAATAGAAATATAAATGTAAAACATAAAGTTTTACACTCTACATATTTAAATTATTAATTATTTAAAAAATCGGGCGGACTAGCTATCCACGCTCCCCACTCTTTCTTTCAATCTTTAGCTCTTGTTTGTTTTTGTTGGGCCTAGACTACGCCCAGTTGCGTATCACGAGACTCATGAATCTGTTTGCTACTATTTAGACACTTTGCAAGCATGCGAACAATCTGAGCAACCAATTTTTGGGTCCCATGTAATAGGCGTAGCTTAAGACCGTGCAACGCCGCTACGGTCGAATGATTTCAACCGTCTGATTCGTTCCATTCCTCTAGGACTAGGTAGTCAAACAATCCAACGGTCTAAGCGAGATGATTATAATTATTGCCCGTCTCGTAATTCCAAGCAAGTTCAATTAAATGTAGCGTAGGGATGCATGTGACACGTATCTACTGGATCTCATACGTACGGAACAATTCCAAATCTTTCACCGACGCTGAGGCAGTGACTAGACATTCCAAATAGGGATTGGGTTCAGACATCAGCCACCGAATCGTACGCTTGGAAAGAGAATCATTGATCGAATGGAATTCGGGAGTGCTTGTATTGTTTTATCCTGCATCAGTTACACGTAATCGATTCGAAGTCGACCGCATCCGTTTTGGGTGAGGTGGAGCGTATTGTAGGAGCATTTTTCCCTTATCGCTTTTGCTTTTTTTGGGGTTTGTCGACACTCGACATATGCACACTCTTCTAATTGTCTCCAACTCCTATCATTTTGCCTGCCTTCCAATAAAGGAGACGTCTTTTTTCAGTCTCACGAAGAGCGAGTGAGAGAGAAGGGATTCAGAGGCAGAAGATTTCGTTCTGGTTTCGTCTCAGAGATTGACATTTCTGAGGTAGATTTGTTCTTCTCTTTTCCACCCTTCTTCCTGCAAGTTTCGTATTATTATTTTCTTTCTCTTTGTTGGATTGGTGTATGGCGGTGTTCGTTTGATCATTTGGTGGTTGGTGGATGAGCTAGGGTTTCTGCAAATTTTTTATTTTGAGTTGAATGGAATTATGTTATATGTTTTTCTTTATTTTTGTTAATATGCTCTTATTCTGAGTTAGGTTAATATGATGATTTTGTGATTGGTGAAACCCTATTTTCAGAGTTGTAATGGAATTAAACTTTTCTTTTTTGGGATTCTAAAACGGAAATCTTAGGGTTTGGTAAGGTTGCTTTCAGGTTTCTCTGAATTTCTATGTAGTTCTGTTTTTGCTTGATTGTTTTAAGAATTTTAGCAGCTTTTGTGTCAGTTCCGAGCTTTATTTATAGATGCCGGAGATTCATTTTATTTTGTTTTTGGAAAAGGAGATTTTCTTTTTTGTATTTCTTTAGGGTTAATGTAGTGATTGATTATTCATTAGTCCATCTTGGTTGTCGAAAGATCATGATTTAGTAAACACTAATGATGGATAAACGTATTTGTTGACATATATTTCTTTTCTTTCCCTTCAAATTCTTTTAGTTCTATTTTTTTTTGGTAAAAAAATTCTTTTAGTTATGGATATTTGGATTTGTCGAAAGCTTGGAGCGAGTTTTTCTTGTACGAAGATAGTTTCGAACTTAGGAATTACCTTTACTAGAATATATTGTTTTTTCCTTATTTTTTATTGCCTTTACTAGAAATCTAGAACAGATTGTTTGTTCTTTCACATAAATTACCTCTGCTGTTTGGTGCAGATATAACATGTCGTACCATCGAGGAGATGACATTGATGACATGGCTTACGACGGAGAGGTGGGAGATGTAGTGGATGAGATGGATGATGAGTACGATGGCAGAGGTGATGGTGAAGCAGATCTTGATGACTACGAGCTGGTTAGTTTTTATCGTGCTGTTGAAAATCTTGTTAATAAATTAACTAAGCTTAGTGGAGTGAATAGTTTCCAAGCAGGCAAGGTGACAGTGCCTTTTGTTGGGTGCCTTGCATGAATGTCATAGATTATATAAAAAAAGGTTCCTGCCTTGGTGACTAGACGCCCTCCTTCACCCGTCTAGTGACAAAAATCACAAGGCAGGCTCTTTATTGTAATGTTATCACTATGTATGTTAGTATTTCCCATTATGTAGCTTATGCTTTGTTTAATAGTTTTACCATTAGACAAGATACAAAGGTTTTAAGAAGAAAAAAGAAAGAAAGGACAAAGAGTTGCCTTTTTCTACAAACTCTGTGTGTGTGTGTGCACGCTCTCTCTCTCTCTCTCTATTACATTAAATAGCAGGGGCTCTACTCTTGTTATAGTATTCTTTAGTTGCTAATAATTTTGTGGCATACAAACTATTAAATACTTATTATGTTATATAGTGTTTTGTTTGAAATATTGAAATTAATTGATTTAAAATGTTATTGTCTTTTGGATACAACATTCATTATGTTTAGTAAAGTGCTATTGGTTGGCATGCACAATTAGGAAAATAGTCTAGAATTTTGATTTTCTTTGTAAAGTTTGTTTACTAGAATCCTTTAGATGCCTTAACGACTATGATAGAGTTCTTTGTCAATTAGTTTCAGTTATTTAACTCTAGGTTTTGTATTGGTTGGTATGTACACTTAGGAAAATAATCTAGAATTTTGATTTTTTCTTTGGAAAGTTTCTATTGCCTAGATACCTACCTAGGTGGCGCCTAGGCAACTATGTGACTAGGTGCTTCATTATTTACTAGAAATAATGTTAGAGTATCTTGTTTATTAGTTTCAGTTATTTAACTCAAGGTTTTTCCTGTTCTTTGCATTTTTCTTCATTTTGATTTGAACTTTCTTGCATAATATCTTCTTTATTGATGGTTATCTTAACAGTTCTGATGTCTTCATGTTTCCTTGGTTGTGTTGACTGGCAGCATAGCAAGGTAACTGATATAACTTCTGTTCACGCAAGGAAAGGGAAAGATATTCAGGGGATTCCATGGGAAAGATTGAACATAACTAGAGAAAAGTACAGGCAGACAAGGTTAGAGCAGTACAAGAATTATGAGAATATCCCTTCATCGGGAGAAGTTGTAGATAAGGTATGCTACTGTCCAATATTTATTTTATGACTTAAAAATAATGAACCATGTTTTGTGGGATGGGAAACTATTGATTATATTGGTTTTACATAGGAATGTAAACAAATGGAAAAAGGTGGTAACTACTATGAGTTTCGGCACAATACAAGATTGGTGAAGCCCACGATTCTCCATTTTCAGGTTAGTGGATTTCTTATTTATCATGTGTGGTTGTTCTTGGTATATTGACTTCGTTCGCATTTTGTTATTGGTTGTTGTGACTTGTGGCATACTAGTACCTAAGCATATTTTTCTTTTTGTATGCTACTTTGTTGTAAATTGTAATTTCAGCCTTCTTTCCTTTTACCAAGTTGTTTTATGACATATCTTCTCTTTAACCATCTTGAGTGTCTTGGCGTGGTGCTTGTACTAAGCTCGGAAGTATTGCATTATAGTGGAAAACTCATTATTTTTTCAAGTGTTCTAAATTGTTTTGGAACTAGTTCATTCTTGATATTTTGTTTCAAAAATCTAGTTTAAGGCTTGAAGGTTTTTCTTCATGGTCCATTTTTTTTGATAAATAACATGCCAGCATTTCATTATTATTATAGTACAGATATAAAATGAGGATCCAGATTCCAGAAGAGGGAGGTAAATATATCTACCTCACCTCAAATCAACTATTACAATTGATCCCAATACAATTGCCCCCTATTTATGCCTTGCATGGCTAACAAGTTGGCCAGCCCATTTGTTGATCTTGGAACCTATCGGATAGATAATATGATTTCCCTTGTTAGGTATTAACCATCTAACCTTCTTTATGGCATCTCTATAAATCCAAGCAGCTGTTTTCTGATCCTCTAACCAACCAATTACCACATGGGAGGCCCCTTCAATAACCACCCTTTCTAGGTTCAACTCTTTGCCTTTTGAACCCCATGGGGTCAGCTACATTTTTTTTATCGGAATCGGTAACTTCATTAAGAATTTTCAAAATATTTCAAAGTACAACTGTCAATCCCATATTATGATGTTGATCCAAGTTACATACTAATTACAATACTGCCCAAAACATGTTCTCTGTTACAGTCCCTTGTTTTGCTAAGGTATCTGCTAGCGCATTAGCTGACCTTCTTGTTCACTTGAAGCACATACCAATCTCCCTTGTTATATTGAGTATTTTCCTTATCATTTGTCTATATTTCCATTCTCCCAATTGGCCTGATTGCATCCAACCAATTAACAACTTAGAGTACCCTTCAATCTCCATTTGATGCAACCTTTTATAGTTTCATAGCGTGGCTCATGAGTTTAGTCCTTGTATAATTATTACAACTTTGTATTATCACCTTTGTTCTTAAACATAGACGCCATACTGCTATTTCTCTAATCATCAGACATCCTCTTTTTCTTTTACTATCTTATTAAATAGCTTAGTTGGCCATAACAAGCCTACCTCTCCCATACCTTTCTGCATTTCTATTGGAATCCTTTCAGGTCCTCATGCCTTTCCCTTCATCTTATTTAGTGTCTCTTTTACTTTAGTATGTCTAACTCTGCGAAGGTAACACGATATTTATTATTTTTAACACTACTAGTTGGATGCTAGGGAGAGTCAAGTCATTTTAAGTGAGGAGGATGGAAGATTGAGGTGGAATTTGAGAAAAGAACTAGAAGTGATAATTCTTAGAGAGGAGATTTGTTGATGACAGAAAACAAAGCAGGAGGGAGATGGCAACACCAAATTCTTCCACACAATTGTGAACAGTAGAAGAAGAGAGAAATTTGTAGCCAAGTTGGAGGTGAATGGAGTGACTTCGACAAATCAAGAGGAGATGGTGAAGTGCTTTGTCAATCACTTTAAGGCAGTGTACAAAGGATTGGAGGGTAGAAGGGTTAGTGTAGAGGGGTTGGATTGGCTAAGGCTGGATGGAGTGGCAAGGTAATTGGAGAGGGATTTTGATTTGGATGAAATTAAGAGGGCTGTATTCTCTATGGATAGATCTAAAGTCCCAAGCCCTAATGGTTTTACGATGGCCTTTTAACAGGATTGTTGGGTGATTATCAAGGAGAATCTTTGGGCTGTATTTGAGGAGTTTGTTGAAGAACCTTTTATCAGCCAAGGTATAATATTTATGCAACCTTTCTAGTCTTCATAGTGATACCAAAGAAAGGGAATTTAATTCAGTTCATCCCAAAGATTTTAGACCCATTAGCTTGGTGATTAACATTTATAAAATTGTGGTGAAAGTGTTGTTGCTGAGATTGAAATCTGCCCTCCCTGTTTTGATAGCTAGTTCCAAAGGGCCTTCATTCAAGGTAGACAGATAATTTGATTGAATATTGATTACTAATGAGTGTGGAGGACTTAAAAAGAAGAAAGAAGCAAGGCTTTATATGTAAGTTGGATCTTGAAAAAAGCTTATAATTCAGTGTATTGACCATTCCTTCTTGAGATCTTGAGGTGATATGGTTTTGGGGAAAGATGGTGTGGCTGGATTGGAGGTTGCGTTAAGACTTGTCATTATTCAGTCTTAATAAATGGAGTGGTTAAGGATTTCTTCCCAACTGGTAGAGGGTTGAGACAGGGGGACCTCTCTCTCATTTTGTTTACCTTGATAGGGAATGTGTTCAGTAGGTTGTTAACAGAAGAAAATTGAAGGGGTATTTTTAGAGGATGAAGGATTGGAAATGACGACCTGATATTTACACGTCTACAGTTTACAGATGATCCGATCATTTTTTTTTTGTGAAAGTGGGGATCCCTAGATAGCAAAAAAAATTTGAGGTGGGAAGTGGAATTATTTGAATCTATGTCTAAGTTGAAGATTAATTTCGAGAAGAGTGGAGTGGTTGGAACAAACCTAAATGAGAAGTTGGTAGTTGTAGATTCCTTTGGTTGTCCAACGTTAGACTGGCCGTTGGAATATCTAGGGATGCCCTTAGGGGACAACCCACGGCAGAGTAGGTTTTGGGATCCAATTCTAGAGAGATTGTAGTGTGGAAGAGGAATTATATATCTTTAGGAGGCAAAATTACTTTGATAAAATTTACCCAAACTAATCTACCAGTTTACTACATGTCAATCTTCAGGATACCTTTGAGGGAGGTGTTAAAGATAGAAAAAGTCATGAGGGATTTTTTATGGGAGCTTGGGGAAGGAAGAAGGATTATCTGATTGGGTAAGTTCATTGGTGGAGCGACTGACGCCAGTGCTGTGGAGGTGGCCTTTGGAGAGGGAGAGACTCTGCATGAGGTGGTTGAAAGCATTCATGATCGAGCTGACAATGGTTGGGATATGGGTGTATCTCAACAGGTTATGTTGGCTTCTCCGTGGAAAGCCATTCATGGTATTCTCCCCCAGTTTTTAAATCTAATAAGGTATGGCGTGTGTACCAGAGACAAGGTTATGTTTTGGGAAGATCTCTGGATTGGTAACTCGATTCTCAAGGACCTTTTTTCCCTCTTTGTACTCTATTTTTAAGAATCAACCTTTACAATGCTTTGTGTCTTTCTCCCCCTTATCGGGTGTCAATTGGGATCTAGGGTTGAGAAGAGGTCTGAGGGACCATGAATTTGATCTGGTTGCCTCACTCCTAAAAATTCTTGATTCTGTTTTGTTGGATCCTATCCTTTCAGATAGTAGAGTATGGATTCCTAACCCAAAGGGCCTCTCCCTATTGTTGTACTTGTTTCTCTCTGGTTTTTTCTAATAAAATGTTCCTGTTATTGATAAAAAAAGTACACTGCAGTCTCTTAGAGCTTATCAGTGTGATTATTTCCTACCATCATCCATTGTGGTTTTTTATTGTCAAAACTTTGAAGCATCCTGCATTATTTGATGATCTGGATATTCCTAGGTGAATTATGTTATCTTTTGAGGCTTTTTTTTGAAGGATAGAAGAAAATATTTTATTAAAAAGAAAAAGATTACAAGGCATTGGATGTCAAGGAGACGTCCTAGATTGAGTAACAGCTGGACAATCTGAAAAGTTTCTTCATTACAACGTTGTAATTCTAGAATACCCCAAAAATTCTCTATCAAATCCTCCCTTCTAACATGATCAAACTCTGGCAGAACCAGCACCCAGTCTGAAACCAATGAATCCACAGCAGAAACTATTAGTTCCATACTTTTTGCTTTGTTTTCAAATGCTCTTCTATTCCTTTCAGCCCACAGCGACAAGCAAACTGCAAAAGGAATACAGCTCCACATAATTCTGGCTTTCTTTCTGCCATCTACAGAAAATCTCAGCAGGAGATGATGAATGGAAGACTTGACTTTCCAAAAAGGAAGGAGTAGAAATTCCAGATGAAATTTGCCACTTTGCACGTATAGAACAGATGAAACACTGTCTCCTCATCCATTTTGCACAGATAGCAGAAACTTGGAAGGAAAAAGCCTCTTTTCTTCAAGTGATCTGTGGTTAGAAACTTAGAATACTGTCGAGGGCAACCATCCAAGCAAATGCCTCCACTCTTGGCAGCAGTGGGTTCCCCCACACTCCTTTCATGCTAGCAGAAACCTGATTGTCTCTTACCAAAGCCAAGTAAAAGGATTTCACAGAAAACTTGCCATCCTTACACTCTTTCCGCCGAAGACCATCCTCTGAAATGGGAGAGGCATTGGACTGTTCTAGTTTGTTCAGCAGCTGAATGCACTCTTCCACTTCTTGTTTGTGCAGGGGCCTTCTGAACCTCGGGCTCCATACTAGTTGCTTCCCCCTCAATTCATAGCACTGATCAATGGTGACTTGATGCTCAGTCAGTCTATATAATCTTGGACAGATTTCACAAAGTTTCCCCACTCCAGTCCATTTGTCTTCCCAAAATCTTATCCTTGAACCTTTTTCCAACTTTAAACTTCGTCAGATCCCTGAATCCTGGTTGAATCTCATAATTTCACCAACTTTAAATTTCACAAACTTCCAACTTTAACCTTCCACACACCAACCCCACAAGTCCTTGAAACTTACCTCGGCTCCTACCCAAACCTCACCACCCCATATTTCCCAACCACCACCCTCCTCCACAGTGCTTTCTTCTCTCTTTCCTGCCGAAATGTCCACAACCATTTTCCTAATAAAGCTTTATTAAAAGTCCTAATTCTTCTTTCCCCCAAACCTCCCCTTTCCTTAGGCCTACACACTTTATCCCAACTCACTAGGTGGAATTTCTTGGCCCTTCCTGCCCCTTCCCACAAAAAATCCCTTTGGATCTTCTCTAGTTTGTCAGCCACTTCCTTCAGAACCTTCAATAGAGAAAAATAATATGTGGGAAGGCTTGAAAGCACACTCCTAATGAGGGTAATCCTACCTCCAAAGGACAAGTACTTTGCCTTCCACCTGTCTAGCCTCTTCTCCACCCGCTCAACAGAGGACTCCATATGTTAACAGCAGATATCTTTGAACCAACCGGTACCCCCAGATAAAGGAAAGGGAATTCCCCAACAATTCAGCACTGATGCAAACTGCTCCATGTTACTTCTGCTAATATCCCCGATTCCAATAAGGTGACTTTTTTCAAGATTTACCTTTTTTTTTGATAAATTTTTTCAAGATTTACCTTCAAACCTGTCACCATTTCAAAATTTGCTAAAATGGCTATTAAACTCAGCACCTGATCGGCAGATGCATCTAAAAAGATGAGGGTGTCATCTGCTTACTGGAGATGAGAGGTAATAGGCCCCTCTACCCCTGATTTGAATCCTTCAATCCAACCCAACTGAGAACTTTTCTTCATCAGAAGATTCAGAACCTCCATGACTAATACAAACAACAAAGGGGAGATTGGATTCCCTTGCCTTAGCCCTCTTGGTGCTTGAAAAAAATTCCGAAGAGACCCCATTGATGATAATAGAATAGGAGACTGAAGAGATGCAGCCATAAATCCAGCTTCTCCACTTATCCCCAAACCCCATTAGCCTCTGAATCTCCTCCAAGAAGCCCACTCCACGGTTGTAAGCTTTTTCTATGTCTAGCTTACAGACCAGGCCGAGCCTCCCACTCCTTAATCTTGAGTCTATGCATTCACTTGTCACCAAAACTCCGTCCAAGATCTGCCTACCTTCCACAAACACCATCTGACTTGTCCGTACCACCTCGTGGACCATATTTTTCAGCCTACTATCTAAAACCTTAGCCAAAAGCTTGTATGGGCTGCATATCAAGCTAATTGGCCTGAAATCTTTCAAGTTCGCTGACCCATCCTTCTTCTTTATTAGGGAAAGAAAAGTTGCATTGGCCCTTCTTTCTAGCAATCCAGATTCCCAAAACTCCTGCAACCAGTTCAGAACATCTTTTTTTTTTTTTTTTCTTCTGATGAGTAATGAAGTTTTATTAGTTCAGAAACTGCTTTAGAATTGTAACATCATACAACAACCCATTGAGAGGCATGAGCTGCAGCCTCTCCCCTTGTTTGGCTAGTAATAAATTACATAAATCACAGCTGAGCCCAAAACAATTCTTTCCTATTTGCCCCTTGTTTGGCTAACACATCAAGTAAAGTATTTACTGATCTCCCCACCCACTGTATAAAAACCAGCCATCCTTGTCAGCCAAACAAGTTTGTTAATTTCATTCTTCTAGCACCATATGGTATCCTCGGGGTTTTTCAGCCAGCCCACCACCACTTTGGAACCCCTTCAATGATTAGATGCTCTACCCCCAGTTCAGAACATCTTCCTCCATGAAATACCAGCAACTTTTAGTGAAGTTAAAAGTTGATGCCATTAGGTCCAGGCACCTTATCCCCGTTTATTCTCTTCAAAGCTTCCCTAACTTCCTCTTTTCAAACCTCCTTTCTAGCCACCTTGCTGAAACCTCACTCAGATGATTGAGAGATAAGCCCCCCAATGACACCCAGCTCCATTGTCTACCTCAATACAGCCTCTTGTAAAAGTCCACCACCCTCTCTTGAATCTTTCCCCAAGTTTCCACCCACTTCTCTTCCACTTGGATCATTGATATCAGATTCATCCTTATGCCGCTTGCAAAAGCATGGAAAAAGGCAGAATTTTTATCTCCTTTTAGCCAATTAACCCTGGATTTTTTTGTCTCCATCTGATTTCTTCCCTTAAAATTAGACTTTCTAATTCTTTCTCCAAAACTGCCCTTTCCACCCGAGCTTCTCTCCTGCCATTTCCATCTTCTAATAATCTGTCCAGCTTTGACAATTTCTCCAACACTTCTTTCTATTCTCCTTTTCCCCAATCACTTCCTTCTCCCCTTCAGCTCCTCCTTGATTAACTGTAATTTATCCAAGACTGTCTGCCCTGCTGAACTTGCCCTCTGCACACCTCTCCACTTCCCCTCTACCCACTCCATAAAGGTTGATTGCTGCATCCAGGTGTTTTTGCATTTTATTTATCTGTTGCTGAATGATAACATGACTTTATGTCCTTTGCATTTCAAAAAATTTGTCTTTGCTTTCTGCTTGGTTGCAAATAGCCTTGAGTTTATCACTCGGGATGGTCACTAACTTACATTTTATTTTCAGCTGAGGAATTTGGTTTGGGCCACCTCAAAACATGATGTTTATTTGATGTCAAATTATTCTGTTATTCACTGGTCCGCATTATCTTGCAATTTGTTGGAGGTCTTGAACTTCTCAGGGCATGTGGCACCTTCTGAGGTTTACTCTTTATCTCTATGCACTTCTGGCATTCCATTGTTATTATTAAAATGGAAGTTGAGTGTAAATCTATTTATTTGTTGAGGGGTCTTTGTTTTCTTTCTTTAGAATAATTATGGTTTGTAGCTGCTTTTTCTTGGACTGAATGACTCTTATTTGGTCATGAAGAAACATCCAGGAAGCTTGTTGGAAGGTTTCACACAGACTCAGATTAGCACACTTGCAGTTAAAGGCAACTTTCTTGTTGCAGGTGGTTTCCAAGGAGAACTTACTTGCAAGGTGAGGTTGTATTTTACAGCTTCAACTGGTAAAAAAATGTGTACAGCTCTATATGAATGTTGAGTTTATACAAAAATTTACTAATTTACTGATACTTCAATACGTATTTTATGTTTATGATTTGACAAAAAATGTCCGTGATGCTATTAGATGGGGTGGCTACAGTAATTTTTTTGATCAATAGGGTGTCTACTGTAATTACCAACATTTGTTTGTATATGATGACCAATTCATATGCGTCTTTTCTATCTTCTGTTTCCTTCTCCAACCATATCTCCCTCTTGTTTTTTTTATTTATTTATAAAGTTGATGTTCTGAATCTTTTGGCTTGTGCATTTCCCCTTTCCAATTGCATAGGCATAAGAACAAAATACATCCATCGACATATTACCATCATTCATGCTAAAATAATGACATTACAATCCCATGCACATAGACTGGCCTCCCAAAACATACTTTGCCTGATATATTGTTCCCAAACACATCATTGGCAACCAAACATGTGCAAACATGAAGTGATAACATTTAGTTGGATGTTTAGACAAAGGTGGATGATCTGTGCATTAATTTGGTTTTCTCAAAACGAAACAATAGAGGTTCAAGAGATTTCAGTGGCTTCCCAATCGTATGGAGGGTACTAGTCATAGAGGTCCTCTTTAAGTAGTCAGCATGGGCAATCAAGATATATTTTGTTTTTTCCTTGGGTTGGTTTAGAAGTGGGCCCTAATGTCTATTACTGTTCAAGGAAATCGAGTTGAATAGTAGAAGCCTGAGGCGTATGAGGTGTTAGATTTGGATATTTTCTTGTGGAGAATGCCTTGGAGGTCATGTATTTTCTCTTTTCATAGGTAGGAAGGAAGCTAAAGATTTAATTCTTAGAACGTAGGAGCCAAAAATGAAGTCTAAGATTATATATATATATATATATATATATATATATATATATTTGCCAAAAATGAAGTCTAAGATTATATATATATCAGTGCTTTAAAAGCGCAAGGTGCAAAAAATGTGCAGGGGAAAATTTGTGCCTGATGCACAAGGCGAGGCGTGCGTCTTTTTGAAGCAAGGCACAAAAATACAAAAAAAATGCTGAAAAATAAAAAATGCCAAAAAAATCAAAAAAGCAAAAAAATCAAAAACAATATTAAACATAATATTAATAAAAGATATAAACTTAAATTTTAAATAAATGCTTTAGAAAACCTATTATCTAAAATTAAAAGACAAACATAACATGTAAAGCATATTCAAATGAACATTTAAAAATAAAATCAAACATATAAAGCATTTTCAAGCATGTAAAACCCACAATCTCTTTTTTTCTTCAATTGCATTATTTCAAGTAGCTAATGTGATGTAAAACGTACATTCCTGATTCTACAAGCTGCCTTTATGCCACGCCCCTCGAGGCAAGCCCAAACAAGTCCATGTTAGGGTCTTAAATTCTTAATTTTCACACAAAAAATAACGACTTTATAATTAAGAAGATATTTTATTAAGATGAATGAATGAACAACCCCTATTTGCTAATGCTGTTCATTCATTCATCTTAATAAAATATCTTCTTGAAAGGCAATTAAAATTATAAAATCATTATTTTTTTGTGTGAAAATTTAGAATTTAAGACTCTAACATGGACTTGTTTGGGCTTGCCTCTAGGGGCGTGGTCGGGGTCTGGGGGCAGAGCCCCCGACTCAGCCACTAGATTCAAAAAAAGCAAAAAAGGTTATTTGTTAGATATTTGCTTTATCTAAGGCATTCGCCATGCTATTGGTTGATCTAAGCACCCAATGGAAAGTAGTCTCTAGCCTTACCTGCTATCTTCTTTATCTTCATAATCTGTCAGTATTGCCACAATCTATGGTTCTTGTCCCATAGCCACCCCACAACTATCTTTAGTTTCCTTCTACTTCTTATGCCCCAAAGTGCAAACCTTGCAAAATTGCTTGCAGTTCTGATTTAATGGAGTCTCCATAACTGATTGGTCCTGAATAGATTGTAAAGATTTTACCATCTTCACCTCTAAAAGAACCACTTATCCTTAAATGGCCCAGATTTCCAATGCTACTTCCATTAAAATTTAGACTCAAAGGATTGCTTCTAGTTGGAGTCCATTGAATTGAATCTCTAGCCCTTATGGTTGATGTATTGGCCACCCTACTTCACCCTCTTGGTTTTTCATCTGTAGAGAAAGATGCAAATATGCTCAAAGTCTTTATCTAATATTCTAATGCACTATCTTTAGTGGTACATTTTCTATAATTGTTTCCATTGTATTTGCTATTCCTTTGAAGAATCTTGTATTCCTACCAAGTACCCCACAAGATAGTAGCTTTTGTACATCTCCATGTTTCTCTCTCTCTCTCTCTCACTCAATAATGTGGTAACAAAGGATGAATTGAAAAGATCCTTCACATGAAACTAGTAAGTGTTGGCAAGTGTTTCATAGAGGATAAATCAAGCAAAGAATTTTCAAGGATATTGAAAAGGTCTGGTGATATCCAGAAATTGAAAGTCTCGGGACCCCCTCCTTAAACCTAGATTCCAAATTTAGCATAGTTGAAGATAATGACACAAAAGAAGATATGTGTTTATTTTTAAAAGCCAAAATGGCAAAAAGGTTTGGGAACCTTTCTTTGAAAGGACATTTTCCCACCAATAGATCCTCCAAAAACTTGGCCCCGGTACCATTACAAACATTATACCTTTCCAAGCTTAGAAAGGCTAGTTAAATACTTGATATTCCTTTCCTAGGTCAAACTAAAGTAGCTCTTGCATTCAAACCAACATCTCATCCATTTGCTAGGGGTGTTCAAATTTGGTTCATCAAACCGAAAACTGAACCGAACCAAACCAAACCAAACCGAATAAGCCAATTCGGTTTGGTTACTTCGTTTTTTAGTCCATTTGGTTTTATGATTTTAGAAATCAGTTTTCGGTTTTCGATTCAGTTTGAGAAAAAATTCAACCGAACCAAACTGAAAACTGAGTACATATATTTACATTTTAATTATAAATATTAATATGAATATTAACATTACTATTTATATTAATAATAATATATAGTATGTATTTTAATTATAAATGTTAATATATTTTAGTAATAATTATYAATATAAATACAGGTCACATTTATATAAATAGTAATGTTAATATTCATATTAATAATAATATATAGTATGTATTTTAATTATAAATGTTAATATATTTTAGTAATAATTATTAATATAAATACAGGTCACATTTATATAAATAGTAATGTTAATATTCATATTAATAATAATATATAGTATGTATTTTAATTATAAATGTTAATATATTTTAGTAATAATTATTAATATAAATACAGGTCACATTTATATTTTAACTAACCAAATTAACTGAATTAAAACCAAACTGAACCGATTTGAATTCGGTTTGGTTCATGAAAATGAACTAACTGAAATGCCGGTTAGGTTCTATTTCTGAACCGTACTGACCGAATGAACACCCCTATCATTTGCCATGATTCCAAGAACTACTAGCCTCCATTCTTTGCCTTGGTTTGTCCGTATCCAAGTCACCTCAAGATATGGAAAGCCTTTTTGATGCTAACTTCCAAAGACAACCAAGGAAGAGGGAAAGGATCATGTAGACTATCCATAAGAGCAGCTCTAGTATGGGCTATATGGGAAGAAAGGAACAATAAGCTGTTTTAAGAACTAAGTCAAAGGAGATGATCATTAAAGGTGTTAATGTTAAGGTAGCACATTGGGCTAAAACAAATGATGCTTTTAAGGAGTTCTCAATTGATGACATCATTTGGTATGGCATGTAATTGTGACATCTACAACACTCGGATCCAAGGGAATTGGATTCCGTCGGCTAATAACAGAACCAAGCTAAACTTTGGAAGCTCAATTGGTAATCATGGACCTTCTAGAATTGGAGGGGCATGTAATTGGATTCCATCAACTCTACTGTGGCATTTTGTTGAGGTTGGTGATGGGACAATCTGGTGGGTAGAGATACAAAAATTTGGAGTGGGTTGCCTTGGTGGGTAGAGATAGAAAGATAGGGAAAAGAAGTTTTTACTCATAACCTTTCCTTCTTGACTCAAAATTTTTAGACCTAAACATATATGCAACCTTGAGAGGCCTTCAAAATTTTTTTTATATAGCTCTAAGATTCATGATTTGGTCCACCAAAAACATTAATAAATACCAGTGTGTCATCAGCATATAGTAAATGTGAGATGGATGGTCAAAGCCTTAAAGGGGAGATCTGAATGGAGAAAGATGGTGGGATCATTGTTGGCTTGGAATGATCATACGAGGGTATGCCTGGGCTTTGGAGTTTCTGGGGTTTTGGTGGTAAGATTTGATTTAGATGTCTGCAAGGGCTGGGAAATACAAGTTTTTGTTTTTAAAAGGGGTTGGAGGGTTTGGGTGGTGTGGGTCTTGGGCTTTGATCTATTCTGGGTGATATTTTTGTCACCCATTTGTATTCACGTCTCTTTATTTCTTTAATAATTTTTATTTAGAACAAACAAGGCAAGTTGGGATCTGCCAACAAAACACATCCCGACACCCTACCAACAGGACCTGGCACCACACATGTCAGCTTGAGACTGGGACCCACCATAAAAGTGGGACCCTCCATTTATGAGATGTGTGGTGTTGGATCATATTGGGAGGGTGTTGGAATGTATTTTGTTAGCAGGTGATCTGGACTCAAAAAGGCATGCTGTGCAGAAGCTACTGACTTGGACTGCTTGACTTTGGGGACTACTAGTCCAATCAAGTTCTAGAGCATTAAAACATCTTTTTTAGGCATTTGTATATTTGCAGTACCTTCTCAGTGCCCTTTATCATTACATTTTCTTATTTCTCTTAATGATTATATGCTTTTACCGGATTTCTGCTGTAGCGTCTGGATCAGCGGGGAGTCAGCTTCTGTACAAGGACAACTTATGATGACAATGCAATCACAAATGCTGTTGAGATATATGACAGTTTGAGGTATTGTTTTCTATTTAATTTTGCTCACTTTTTTTATTGCCCAGGATCAAAGTTTGATTTACAAACTTCTTGTAGTGGTGGAATCCATTTCATGGCATCCAATAATGACTGTGGTGTACGGGAATACGACATGGAGAAATTTCAGCTTATGAATCACTTCCGCTTTCCTTGGCCAGTAAATGTCAGTTAATTACTTTCTCCTATTTTGTTAATGAGTTCATATAGTTCAGCATTATTCATTTTTCCCAATGGTTAAATTGTATGTAAGCTAGTTTGTTCTTACACAATCTCCTTGCAGCACACGTCAACTAGTCCAGATAGCAAGCTTATCACAGTAGTGGGAGATCACCTGGATGGATTACTTGTGGATTCACAAAATGGGAAGGTACAAGAAGTTATATTGATTATTGTACAATAATCAAAATGGGAACACAAGGCCGAATCTATTGGGGTTGCTTTACTTACAAATTGTTTTGATGATACGCAGACGGTGGCGACATTGGTAGGCCATTTAGATTACTCATTTGCTTCATCATGGCACCCTGATGGCCGTATATTTGCCACTGGGAACCAGGACAAGACATGCCGAGTATGGGATATTAGGAAATTGTCATCACCCATTGCAGTTCTCAAGGGCAATTTGGGAGCTGTACGATCAATCCATTTCTCTGCAGATGGACAGTTCATGGCAGTGGCAGAGCCTGCAGATTTTGTTCACATATATAGCACCAGGGCAGACTTCAAGAAACGGCAAGAAATTGACTTCTTCGGTGAAATATCTGGGGTATCATTGAGTCCAGACGACGAATCTCTCTTCATAGGAGTGTGGGATCGGACTTACGCCAGCTTGCTTCACTACAGCAGAAGGCATTCATATGGCTATTTTGATTCCTATCTGTGATTTATCCATCCGGGGTAATGATCCATCATCCACGAAAGTACACTTGCATGAAGGTAACAGTGCAACTTTCAACTAAATGTCGGTGGCTCTCTGTCTGGTTAAATGACTGTGATGTAGAAAATCCAGTCGTGCAGTTCTTACATTTATATAGACGTACCGGGAAGAAGTCGGTGTTTAGCTCCAGCCAGAAAATCATCGCAAGGTTGTGATTTCCAGTCCTAGCTGTAAAAGTTGAATCGTGTTGCTTGTATTTATGGGGGGGACTGCCTAGTTGTATTTGGATTATTTCTAATTTTGTACTGAGCTTCTATAGCTTATTTTCTGATTTTCTTTCTTTTCCTCTTGTAAAGGATTCTGAAAATAATGCATAGATATATCATGGTTACCGCTATAAAATTAAGGCTGGGCAAGTCAATTACAAGTCCAAGAATTTTCCATTTTTTTTTTGTTTTTATTGTTCCTTTGGCGGACAATGGACTGGGTGACTGCRGTTGCATCGGTCCTGTTGCGTTTGCAAATCTTTTGGAACCCATCCTTCATACGGCGTTTAAATTTAAACGTCAAGTGGGAAGAACACAAAATACGCCACCTTGGTCGTTACTTTGTTAGGGATTTCTGTCTTGAATTGCAAGACCTTTGCATGAAGAAAGCTATGGGACGTAGGTTGTGAGATTAAAATTCATTCTTGCCAAGGGAATAGAATTATTCTTACTTTTTTTATAGAGCCACGCACGCCCCTACTGTGTATCCATCCCTAAGCCTTCTGATAATTATCTAATAGACAGTGCACATGTGATATCACGTGACTGCTTTTTTTCAACAATTTCTAGAATACTTATTTGTGGTCGAAAATGCTATTCTCAATTTGGGATGGAGATGAACCTTAGTTATTGGTGACCGGTTCTGCTATTGGTAGTCACTGGCAACAATACAGAGATGAAGACGAACCTTAGCTATTGGTAGTCACGTGAATAGGGAAGTTTTTTTGGGGCTAATTTTTAATCTTCTTTCATTGTAATTTGCTGATGGGGAGTTCAGACTTTTTATCTCCCCTTTATTGTAACTAAAGCTTCATAAATCTTAATAAAGTTTCTGTTATTGATAAAAAAAAAAAGATGTAACATTTTCTTGTGGAAAGATGATGCAAGGATTTGTCTCTGTGGAATTGGAGTTTGTAGAGTCTTCAGAATCAAACGGCTTGGCACACAAAGAGAAATGGTTTTGGGTTTGTGCAAAATCCCAAGTAAAACAAGTTTGTAATTAGTTGATTTGGTTCAATCTTAAAACGTTGAACCTCACCTTATTTTGTAGGATGCAGGTGGGTGTAATTAAATTCTCATGGATACCTTTGGTAAAAAATGTCTAGCATAGTGTAGGGAGCGTAACCATTAAAGGAGATAGGGCAGGGCCTCCTGGAAGCAAGGAAAGGTTATCTAGATGAAGTTGAAGCAGTAGTCCAATTAGAAAAGGATAATTTAGACAGAATGCCCGAATTTTACGATAAATTATTGAATCGTATAAAAAAAACTTGTGAATTAAATATGTATAATATGTTTTGGTAATGTTGCATAAACTTGTTAACATGTAATGATGAATATGATGAATCTGGGAGGATGCAATGATCAAACTGATAAATTTTCATGTTCTACTTTTAGACAACTACAACATTATAAAGCAGTTAACTTGATAGTTAGAATAGATTTATGTTGTGATTGATAATAAAAGGGCACTGTAACTATATTGAAATTTTGGATAATATCTCTATTTCACAAGACCATGCAAAACGTTCGTATTTGAAGATGCACTAACCACCATACTTTATTGGCACTTTTATCCATTTATTACCTCTCAGAAAGTAAAAGTTTGAACAACATACTTGAAATTATCCCCCACTTTATTTTTGTTAAATAAATTAGGATCAAATCCATTTACAAGTAGTCATACTTCTGCTCTAAATCATCTTTAATCATTCTGGTGAAAACACTCTTCTAGTGGCCTTTTATGGTGGAAACACCATGACTGATCTGAACACAAAAACTAACATTGCGATTGCATGGCCTAAAACGTTGACACAAGAAAATTCCAAATGTAGGATGTCCAAAGAATGAAATCTTCCTGTCATGTGCTAGTGCAGCATGTTAAGAAGAGCAGGGATCCAAGATGGGAAGAAGAGTTTCAGTTTATATTGGATGAACCACCCATTAAGAGAAATTTTTATTCATAAAAAAAATAGAGAAAATCAGTGTGAATAACACCCTCATCAATCAGCCTATCATATTTAGTTATGACCTCTTCACCAGCCTAAAATCAGCCTATACAAGTTGCTAAATCTGACTAAGGGCTTCTTCTGTTCTATGGTTGGAAAATGTGTGGCTTATCTCAGAACACACCATGCGTTCTGTAGGCTGTAGTGTGGTGTGTTTTTAATAGAATATGTTAATGTGTGACACATATAATATTGATCATGCATCAACACATACTTTCAATGTATATGTTATACGAGTCTCATTTTACAATTAATCAAAAGAAATTTTAAAATTAATATAAATAAATAAAACATCATAAAACCAATGTTTCAAAAACCAACTAGGAGGCTGAATCATTTTTTGCCTTCAAGTCATAGGTCATTAATTTGACAGTAAAAAAATAGTGGGGCAAGGCACCTCGGGGTTTGCTTACACATTTAGTGTGTAACCCATAACTTGGTCATGGGGTTGAACGGGTCAATGGTTCAACCAGGTTGACCAATTACCAAGTTTTAGTAGAACTGGACCCAATATCATAGCCAAGTGACTATTTGAACTAGGGTTGTAATAAAATTCGATCTGGATTGGATTCAACAAAATCTGAATCCGATCAGATTTGAAAAGTTAGTTACCTTTCAACTTTTATATATAATAAATTAATGTATATATAATATATTGAATTTATTATTATATAGTATAATATATAAAATATACTTTTATAATTTTAAATATAATTATATAAACTTTATATATTAAAATCAATAAATATTATAATATAATCGGATTGGATGGAGTCAAATATGAATATGACTCTGATCCAATTGTTAATCGGATGCAAATTGTAAAATCTGAGTCCGATTTGATTACATAAATACAACATCTGAATTCAAGATAAATTGAATCAAATGTCGATTGGGCCATGGAGTTTCATATATCATTGATAGGCCTAGTTCAAACGGTTCAACTAGATGGGTCAAAGATAGGTTGAAAACATTGTATAAAATAATTAAACATAATAAAAAATAAGATATTTCTCTTAAACTACCCCTACTGTTCATTAAATTGACAAACTGTACCTTTACTGTTTAGATATTGTTTTACGCTACCCGACAATTGACACGCCATTAAACACTAATAGAAAAAAATGAAATATCAAATTTGACTTTTACTATTCATCAAAATTTCAAAATAAAACTCAATTGACTGTAGACCGGTTCGTTGCTCTTCGTGAGAGAGGATGCCAGTGTTTCCGTCATCACTGTAAAAAACGATGGAACCATTCCCCTGTTCTCAGATGCATCCGCAGCTAGACTGCCATTGGAATCACAGATGGATGAATTCCAGTCTGGATCAATTTCACACAGATCAAACGAAGTGAAAGGCTTAGGAATTCTATGAATCGAGTAGATTAAGAAATAGGAATAAGTACTAAATTCTAGAAAATTTATAGTAGCAGTACTAATAATAACATCATAATAGTAATTGAAAACATAGAACATTGAGATTGAGGGTTTTATCATTTGTCCTCTAATTTCTTTCTTCTTCTGTTCTGTCCTTTTCTTTCTTCACTTCCCTCTCTCTCTCTCTCTCTCCAATCTAAAAAGCACCTCACGAAACCTCACTCCGAAGATCTTCCTCTTCTTCTCTTCTCTCTCCCTTTCCAGTCAACATTGCAAAGCAGAAAAGCAGATGCAGATTCATTGAGCCCTTGTGTTCTCGGCAAAACGATTGCAGATATGAAAGGAATCGATTTCTTCTGTTCCTCTCTAGCTTCAACCGCCATATGCGCAAGCATGGATCAACGGTCCATGGTTCGTCATGGTGGTCGAGCCATCGATCGCCACAAGCCTCCTTCCCTATTCATCTCAGTCCCAGGCTCCCAGCCACCCACGAAGCCTAAACCTTACCATCATCAAAAGAGTAGAAAGAGTTCTGCTACGCCCATTGATCTCAACTACCCCTCCGGGTTCCTCCAGATATCTCTTGAGTCATGACTCCTCCGCTTTCTTCGATGTCTTGTCGGATTTCGATCCACCCTCAGGCTGTAAACACCGATCAGCCTCTTGCTTTCAAACAATCTTCTTCAACTAGCTCTCATTACCAGGTTTGTTACGTCCCCCATCCCCATCTCTGTATTTCCATTGCTCTTCTTTGCTCGTTGTTGCCATTAATGATGACAATGCATGATTATGTTTATGAGGATGAGCTTAAAGAGATATTATGCAGGTTGTAGTTTTGAGGGTGTCATTGCACTGCAAGGGTTGTGAAGGGAAAGTGAGAAAACACATCTCCAAAATGGAAGGTAAATTAACCAAACATTTTATTACAGAAAGAACGATTCCTATGATGCTCTTCTTTTCTCAACTTTGTCTCAATGAAATATGAATGATCCCTGAAATCTGAATCTCCTGCTCTGTTGAGAACGAGACCTCCAAGCCAAGGCTGCTAGCTCTCTCTCTCTCTCTCTCGCTTTTTTAATTAGATTGCTGACAATATTGATGTGCTGGTGTTGTTGGATTTTGCGAATGTGAGCACGGGTGACATCATTCAACATAGATTTCGCGGCGAAGAAGGTAACTGTGGTCGGGGATGTGATGTCGTTGGGAGTGCTCCCCAGTGTCTCGAGAAAACAGAGGGGGGAGGGAAAGCTGAGAATATGAAAGTTACATTGGGTACCGGACAACAGTGGAGATCTGAGAGAAAAAAATGATCTTTTGTATTGTTTCTAATCTAACTCAGATCTAAGATAACCCTGATGACAACCACTGGAGATATCAACGGTAGCAAAGATCTGAAATAAAAAACTAGTCTGGAGATGAGCACGTATTTATACGACAAAGGAAAAGAAAAGGTGAGATCCAAAATAACTCAAATCGCCGCTGCTAAGAGTTGCAGCGGTGATGAAAGCCACCGGAGAGATCTCAAGACAAATACTAGTCTGAGCGGGTATTTATAGGACAAAGGAAAAGAAAAGATGGGATATGAGATAACCCAAATCACCGCTGTTAAGAATTGCAACGGGGATGGTTGGAGAGGGTAAACAGGGGAGGTGAGGTTGAAGAAGGAGAGAGAGAGAGAGAGATGTGAGATCCCCGCCCATTGCCGAGAGACCAGTTATGGTCGATTAGGTTCTGTGAACGGCCACCACCGCCTGCACAATTGCAACGGCAACATCTGCTACGGCTACCATGGCCGCTTGTATGGGCGGCCATTGCTTATAAGCACCAGTCCGAAGTAGCCTCTCCCATTGATGGTGAACCTCACTCCTCCATGTTTCTTGCATGGAACCTTGCAATATTAAAAGAAGAAACACCATGCATGAGCGAGTGCCAGTAGTCTAGCTATCGTCTGATATATATTGAAGAAGAGATCGAACGATGACTAACGAGTTAAAGTAAGAAGTAATCAAGAAGAAGAACAATCTTTGGTATAGAACTGGAACGATTCCACCTTGATAAATGCCAATTTTTTCCCATGCTGGTTGAGCCATATCGAAGTGCTGAAGCAGTGGGTTGCACCACCCGCCATCGTTATTGGGAAGAGCATAATTTGGAGGACAGAAATTAGTGGCCGTAACGTTGACAGACACCCCTTTCAAACATCACTGAGGATCCCTCTTATAACCGCAGATGATCTTATAGCATTGCCCTCATGAAGCCCCGTCATTAAACAAGTTGCCATACCCACAAGCTCCCCCTGTGACCAATCGTCGTCTCTTATAGATTCAGAAAATCGAAACAATCACGAAGAAACTAAAACAGCACAACCATAATGTGTGCTTGTTCTACTCCTTCTCAATCTCGGTGTCATAAGACCTCAACCAAGTAGCATTCATTCTCCCCGAATCCCTTATAGACTTGCCAAAACTCCATATTATGTTATCTTTCTAGTCGCCGGTGCTAGAATCCTCCCTCTGCTCCTTATTATCTTTCTTAAGTCTGCGTACAACAGCTTTGTCGTTGGCAACGACAACTCCACACCGGCTGATGCAACAATATAGGGAAAAGTACGAGCAGGCCCACTGCAGAAATCTGAACACCAGGCCAGGCCATACAGAATTTACAATTACTCTCTAATTCAACTTTTGAAATTATAAGACTGATTCCCATGCCATGTAAGCATCACACTTCTACTTAAGCTTTTCATGTGACGTGACAATTCTACTTGTATTACATGTCAGAATAACATTTATTTAAAATTTTATTTTGAAATTTACCCTTAAATTGCAGACTAAAATGACCCTCTTAGGGCCCACGACCATTGTTCTCTCCCGCCCTCCCTGTTCTTTCTCTTTCATTCTCTCACACTCGCAACTCTCTTCTCTTCGACTGCAGATGACTGAACTTCGGTTGCTCTTCCTCTCTCCTGTTCTCCCTCCTCGCTCTCACTCTATAACTCTCCCGTTCTCCCTCTGTCTCACCCTCATTCTCTCTCTCTCTCTCCTAGTCTCCCTCCCCCTCTATCGCTCTCCTGCTCTCCCTCTGTCTCGTTCTCCCTCTCCCTTTGTCGCCCCCACTTTCTCCCGTTCTCGCCCCCCTCAGTCTTGCTCTCCCTTTGTGGCGCCCTCACCCTCTCCCTTTATCAGTCTTTCCCGTTCTCCCTCTGTCTCGCCGCCATTCTCTCTCTCTCTCTCCCGATCTCCTCCCCCTCTATCGCTCTCCTGCTCTCCCTTTGTCTCCTTCTCCCTCTCTTCTGTTCTCCCTCCTCGCTCTCACTCTATAACTCTCTCCCGTTCTCCCTCTGTCTTGCCCCCATTCTCTCTCTCTCTCTCTCCCAGTCTCTCTCCCCATCTATCGCTCTCCTGCTCTCCCTCTGTCTCGTTCTCCCTCTACCTGTAAATTTTTAGGTAGCATTGTGCTTTTTTCACTTTTATTCCTGTCTCAATTTATACCAAGTGAAGGCCCATCTTAACAGTTATTGTTTCTTGCGCAACATTTGTCACTGCTCCATCATTTTGTTTGCCTTATCCATCAAACTAAAGTTTTGGCCAATACATTGAGGCCTTCCCTAACCGGAGGAAATTATCATTTTGAACACTTGTGCCACTAATAGGTATTTGACAATTTCTTTGTATGATATTTTAATTTGTTATTGTCAATCAAAAAGTCATTTCAAATAAATTTGATTTTTGGTTCTCTTTACATTTCTATCACAGTAAATAGGCTATCATTTTTATATAAAAAAAATTGTTAAGTTGTGTTTGATGTTGATTCATTCCTGTTGAATGTGCATTAGAGAACGAGTGTACAATAGTTTACACATGGAAAAGAAGATCAAGAAAGTGTGTGTTTGTAAAATTTCTTGTATGAAAGGTCAATTTACTTTGGTTATGAAAATGTCTCTCCAAAATTAAGATGATAGTTTAGTGATAATCACTCATAACAAGCATTAATAATCACATATTGTTTTGTTGTAGACTCTAGGAGGGTGTTTGCCTTCTCAGCATGCTATTCAAATTCATTTTATAAAGAGCCAAATTCAGTTAATGAAAAACATTAGTTTGTAAGTTGAATGTCCTCAAATCAAAGATAGTAATTAGGTGATGGTTACTAGGTTGGCACATTTGGCACCTTATTTGCCAAGGGGCCAATAAGATTTGTTTTTTTTTTTGTTGAAGAATAAGATAAAATTCATTAGGATGGTGATAATCCATAAAAAATTCCAAAAGCCCAACTTTGATCTCACAGATCCCATACTAATACCCATAGAACTGGATGGCAAAATCTTATCATATTTTCTCTTAACAACCTCTATCACAGTCCAAGAAACAAACCAAAATATTCTTTTATTGTCACAAGATCTTGCTACACTTAACCAAATATTCCTTAACCAATATGTGTAGCAGTCCACATTTAATTCATTACCTAGAAATATTAAATCAAACTGCAAAAAGGGTAATGAATATTTGGTTCTTGGTTAAGTGTACATCTTAACCAAAAGCCCTTGAGATGTCACCCTTGAATGCCCTGTGTACACTTAACCAAAAGTCCAACTTTGAGAGAAGGTGAAGTATAATGTATTAACTGAAAAAAGAGTATGTGTATGACCCTCTTCTCCTCTGTATCCAGTCTACCACTACCAAGTTGCTGAATGATTCCAAAGAGAGCCTTTATATATATGTAGGAAGCCTATAGTTGAGTTTGGTTTCTTTTAGAAAAATTAATTCATTAATTATAAAGCATAAGGGCATGTAATGAGCTGATGCCATAAAATACAATTAACCTTGCCTTCTCTCTCTTTCTCTTGAAAAAAAAGTATCAAGGGCATGTAACAGACCATGACAGAGGTTATAGGCTTTTTGTGTTCTTGGTTAAGTGTACACAGGGCATTCAAGGGTGTATGGATTTTCTCCTTTTCACAAGATGGACCTTTCTTTTGTTGACTCATTTTTGTATATTCCCATTATACAGGCTCTCATTGTACATGGGATGTTATTTATGTTTTTCCTCATACTTTAATATAATTCAATACCTTAACCTGTTTCAAAAAAAAAAAAAAAAAAGTAGACCATGACAAAGGCCTCAACTTAAAAGGCTATGATCGAGCTGATTCCATTCTCCCGTCAAGCTGAAGCAAATCTTAGCTCAATCAAGCAAAATGGCTTACCTTTTAAAAGGTGCAAATTCATTCTGTGATGTTGTGCACTCTAGATTTTGGTAAAATTTAAACTTCTCATGTTTTACTAACAACCAAGAAGTGAGAAATTCATATTTCCCAAAATAACCATTTCCAAAATATTCTACATCCAACCAAATACAACCAGCTATTTGCGTATTGGACAAGATTCTGAGAATGGATCCAGTAAGTTGGAAGATATTACTTAAAGGATGCATCCATTGTATGCCTTGAGGGTGGGAAATCAATTGGCAATGGCCTCCTTCCTTTCCCCTTTGCAAAACATAGCATGAAGCTTTCTGCTTGTTGGGGTTTCCTRRGTGCTACAAGTGAGTAGTCATGAGATACTTCATAGTAAGTGATATGGTGGTCCAAGTGCAAGTAGATATAATTGAGAATAACTCTATTTGCATCTGGAACATGACAAAGAACTCCTCTAACATTTTCTTTTATTTTTATCTTGAACAAAATCCAAGAACTTTATTGATATGTAATACAAGAATACACTAGTCTAGTTTACCCAAGGAAAACTAGCCCTGAAACCTCTCGAAGGAGAAGGCCACCGAATGAATAACACCTTTTAACATCTTTTGTTTGAAAAGATAATGAAAGAACTTCATAATAACAATAACAATAACAATAATAATAATAGATGTAGATAAACAATGAATAATGGCTCTTAGATACTAAATATAGAAGCAAGATAATTGCAAAACTTTGACTAGAGAATAAAGATAGAACACAATGCAATGCTATTTTTTTGGGTGGAGTTTAAATATAAGTTGTTGGAAGATCTTACCATAGAGGTGAAGAGACAAATTATCTCCATGGATATAATCTACAGGTACCAGCCTTTCTTGCTCCCTGGGCCCCCAATAGCATTTCTTGGACTCTGGACATGCCTCTCTTCCCTTGGGTAAAGCAAACACTGCAGTTTCAGCCACAAACTCTTTCTTCCCAGACAATGGCCTTGCATTTGATGTCAACAAGTGATCATTTGAAAAGTCAATGAAGCTGGAGAGGGTTCAATGTTTCTAGATTTAATATCTCTTCCCATTGTTTGGCCATTCATTTTACTTTTTCTAGGAAATTGTTGGAAYTGYCCAYGATAATAAACYAGTAAAACAAAAGCAATCATCAAAGTGGCACTTACAGAGGCAATAATAAATGCTACTCTGATATTAGATTTTGAACTGTGATGTTGCCCCTTACCATTAAAACTCATGGGGCTATTGCTCTGTGAAGGCATAGTATTTGCAAAGATTAGTAGCGTATTTCCATGATGAAATGAAGTATTTGGAAAATGCACCAATTTTTTAGGAACTTGTCCTGATAGATAATTATAAGACACATTAAAATCCTTTAGACTAGATGGAAGCCCGTCAGGGATCTTACCATTGAAATTATTATTGGATAAGTCAAGGTACTCTAAACCATTAAGCTTGCTCATTGCACTTGGTATCTCTCCTGACAAGCTATTCCTTGCCAGATTTAGCAACCTAAGCTTCCCTAASTTACCTAGCTCAGAAGGCAAGGAACCTGTCAATGAATTACCAGAGAAATCAAGTGACTCCAACTGCGAATAAGAAGGTAAAACCAATAACTCTGTTGTCCTTGAGCCTTGAAGAGTAATATTTCCCATGAAATTATTTCCTGAAGTATTCAAGTTTATCAATGACAATGAAGTGAAGAAACTACTTGGAATGGGCCCAGTAAGTTCATTTGAGGTGAGATCAACTATAGCTAATCTTGGATAGGTCCCAAATTCAATAAGTAGGTCACCTCTTAAAGAATTATTCATGATCTTAATAGAAGACAATCTCTAAAATTGATAAGTAAGGTTTGGAAAGGTTCCAGACAATGCATTTGAACTCAAATCAATGATCTCTAAAGTATCTCCCTAGCTTTGCATAATAGATATATCACCAGAGAGACCATTTTTGCTAAAATCCACCATCACACATTTTCCAAGAGTAGAAGGCAATGGGCCTGAGAGCATATTTGATGAAAGATTTAAAAATTTCAGAGTAGTGGAATTAATTCTATGAATCAAACATGAAAAAAGGGGAAAGTTTATACAATTGGTTTTATCTCAAGCTGATATACTTGGCACTATAAATTCTTCATTATTTCCTTGTGTATATATACTTGTTCTAACTGACCTTGATTATTTTCTACAGATATTTACAATGCAAGATGCAAGTATACACTAGAAATAGTATCACCCATTTGGTGAAGTTTATACAATTGGTTTTATCTCAAGCTGATATACTTGGCACTATGAATTCTTCATT